TAAAAAAAAAAGATTTTATGATCTATAATATAAGTAGTAGTAATCATAAATATATTACCAATTGGGTTTTTTTTAAACGGAGTCTGAATACTTCATTTTATTGGTCCAACCATAAATTATTCTATAGACTTTTCTAATTGATAATATAAATTTGAATACCCTCCAAAACAAAAAAGGATATAATTTCACTTGATTTCACTTCACGCTCCAATTTTTTGATAATTCAAAATCTTTTTTGGGCGAAACAGAGGATATCTCGATCGGGGGAGAGAACGGGGAAATCCCATATGACCCAATATATCTGACAAGTCGCACTATACGTCAACCCAAGAGGCATCTTCCTCTCCAGGACTTCGAAAGGGTACTTTTGGAACACCAATAGGCATAAAATGAAAGAAAAAAGAATTAAGTACTATATTTCACTTTGATGTGGAAGCGTAACAATGCGTTTATTTTCTTAATAATCTTAATAATATTGTCTTTTATCATATTTTATCCATAGATTGGGAAAAAAATTCTTACGAATAGGTCTTTTGAATGATTAACAAATATGTATACATTCGTTCATAGAAAATGGGATCAACCCCCATTGCGTATTGGTACTTATCGGGTATAGAATAGATCTGCTTCTCTTTGTTCCTACGAACCGAATTGTTCCATTTTTACTAAAAAAAAATAATAGAACAAATATTAATCCTTTCTCCGAGATAATCCCCTGAAAATGGGAGGTCCATAGCATATTTTTTTCCAATGCAATAAAGTTACATAGTGTCTATTTTTCGTTGATAAAGGGGTATTTACATGGGTTTGCCTTGGTATCGTGTTCATACCGTCGTATTAAATGATCCCGGCCGTTTGCTTTCTGTCCATATAATGCATACAGCTTTAGTTGCTGGTTGGGCCGGTTCGATGGCTCTATATGAATTAGCAGTTTTTGATCCCTCTGATCCCGTTCTTGATCCAATGTGGAGACAAGGTATGTTCGTTATACCCTTCATGACTCGTTTAGGAATAACCAATTCATGGGGCGGCTGGAGTATTACAGGAGGGACTATAACGAATCCGGGTATTTGGAGTTACGAAGGCGTGGCCGGTGCACATATTGTGTTTTCTGGCTTGTGCTTCTTGGCAGCTATCTGGCATTGGGTGTATTGGGATTTAGAAATATTTTGTGATGAGCGTACAGGAAAACCTTCTTTGGATTTGCCAAAAATTTTTGGAATTCATTTATTTCTTTCAGGGGTGGCTTGCTTTGGGTTTGGCGCATTTCATGTAACAGGATTGTATGGTCCTGGAATATGGGTGTCCGATCCTTATGGACTAACTGGAAAGGTACAACCTGTAAATCCAGCGTGGGGTGTAGAAGGTTTTGATCCTTTTGTTCCGGGAGGAATAGCCTCTCATCATATTGCAGCAGGTACTTTAGGCATATTAGCGGGCCTATTTCATCTTAGTGTCCGTCCGCCCCAACGTCTATATAAAGGATTACGTATGGGCAATATTGAAACCGTCCTTTCCAGTAGTATCGCTGCTGTCTTTTTTGCAGCTTTTGTTGTTGCTGGAACTATGTGGTATGGTTCAGCAACTACCCCTATCGAATTATTTGGTCCCACTCGTTATCAATGGGATCAGGGATATTTCCAGCAAGAAATATATCGAAGAGTTGGTGCTGGGCTAGCCAAAAATCAAAGTTTATCAGAAGCTTGGTCTAAAATTCCTGAAAAATTAGCTTTTTATGATTATATCGGTAATAATCCGGCAAAGGGGGGATTATTCAGAGCGGGCTCAATGGACAACGGGGATGGAATAGCTGTTGGGTGGTTAGGACATCCTATCTTTCGAGATAAAGAAGGGCGTGAACTTTTTGTACGTCGTATGCCTACTTTTTTTGAAACATTTCCGGTTGTTTTGGTAGACGGAGACGGAATTGTTCGAGCCGACGTTCCTTTTCGAAGGGCGGAATCGAAGTATAGTGTTGAACAAGTAGGTGTAACTGTTGAGTTCTATGGGGGGGAACTCAATGGAGTCAGTTATAGTGATCCTGCTACTGTGAAAAAATATGCTAGACGTGCCCAATTAGGTGAAATTTTTGAATTAGATCGTGCTACTTTGAAATCCGATGGTGTTTTTCGTAGCAGTCCAAGGGGTTGGTTTACTTTTGGACATGCTTCGTTTGCTCTGCTCTTCTTCTTCGGACACATTTGGCATGGTGCTAGAACCTTGTTCAGAGATGTTTTTGCTGGTATTGACCCGGATTTGGATGCTCAAGTGGAATTTGGAGCATTCCAAAAACTTGGAGATCCAACTACAAGAAGACAAGTAGTCTGATACAAGATTTCTCTCTTATCTTTTTCCTTTATTTTTTTGTCTGGGAGATAATCCCAAATAAACAGAACAGGTATGGAAGCTATAATTGTAAAGCACGATCGAATTTATGGAAGCATTGGTTTATACATTCCTCTTAGTCTCGACTCTAGGGATAATTTTTTTCGCTATCTTT